AACTAAGTTTTATAATATGAGAAATATATTATATATATATATTATTAATCATATATGTCACAGCAATAATAAATCGGACATTGATTTTCCTTCTGATTTCATGTCGATAAACAGGTTCATTAAGACCGATTGTCCTGATCCCAAGGCTTGAGGTACCCAACAAATTAGGAATATTTTATGTGGAAGTTGGCGCTTTGTACAGTTTATAAACACTCTACTTTCAGCATCACATTTAAATGAACCAAAAAATGAAGTTATGTATCTTAGCATGAGCAGACCGACAACAGGTAATCTCTCCTCCCACACTACACCCCATAACAAATTTTAAAATTGTTCAGATGACCCAGACTTAACATTTGATATTTCTTGTTCCATCTGCGATATTCCATTTTTGGATTACGTCAATTTGCTCAATCCAGCTTTTTGACTGTTTTTAATGCTGAAAAATGGGTGAGATTGTGGTATTCAAGATGTAAAAAAGTTGAACTGCAGTCATTTACAAAAGATATGCACAAAGTTTTCATTTATTTCACCAACTTACGTTTGAGTAGCAAATTTTGTCAGGGGGACTGTATAGTTCTGATCAATTTCCTAAGGATTCAGAACGAAGAGAAATTTATTGAAGCAGATGAACGGTCAGCAACCTGAAAAATTATCTTTTAAGTTGTGCTCTCAGAACCTGAAATGGTCTTTCTTGCTCCCTGCACAATGATGTCGAAAAACGTTAGCATGTTGAAGGAGGAAGATCATTTGAATTTCTGAAAGTACCACTTTATAAATGCTTTTTCAGGTTGTTAACGGTTTAATCATGTATGTGGTTTACTAAAAGTTTTAGTTATTTTGAGTTTTACAGAGCTGATCTAAATTCTGTCATCTTCCGAGACAAATCTGCTACCTAATCCTAAGCTGGCAGATTCGTATTGATTTACTAGTAATTTGCAATTTTATGCATGCTAGTTATTTGTTGTGATTAATTGTTGGACAATGTCTCTTGGAACAGAAATTTCTGAATCGATAGTAATTTTTTAAATTTTTTATTTCTCATTCAACTCAAGTTTCATAATCGATTTAATATTAACTAGGGTTAATTCCATCCCTCAATCACTCATAATATATTATTTACGGCCGGATCAGAAACGCACTGACATGCATCATAAATTTTAACGAGCATTAACTGAGAATTGCAAAAGCTTCTTGGAATAGTAAATAATTTTTTCGAATCTGTTTTTCTTGTTTTTACACAACGTAAATATGCTCTGTTGTTCATAGCTTATGCGGTCGGTCGCGTGTTCGTCGATTCTTACTTTACCGCTATCGCAAAGAACGACGTGACGTCGATGGTGGACCAACTGTTGAACGCGTTTAAGAAACTGGTAAAGGAATTGCAATGGATGGACGAAGCAACAAAAACCCGTGCGCTGGAGAAAGCTGAGAACATGTGGAAGAACATTGGATACCCAGACTTTATCAAAGACAACGCCCTGCTGGACAAATACTACAACCTTCTAAGTCCCGAGATCAAGGAAAACGAACCGTTTTACCGTGTGAACTCTGTTGTGCAGGAGTGGATGATGAGCCTGCAAATGAATGATCTGACGAAGCCTTTCAACCGCAAGTCGTTCGGCGGATCGCCGGCAATCGTTAACGCCTGGTACTCGAACCTGAAGAACTCGATCACCTTCCCAGCCGGCATTCTGCAGTTCCCCTTCTTTGACGCAACCTATCCAAAAGCCGTAAATTACGGAGCAATCGGTTCAGTCATTGGACACGAAATAACCCACGGATTCGACGACCAGGGATCGCAGTATAACGCGAGCGGTGATCTTCAGGTAATTTAATCATCTGATGAGCGGCAATTTAAATTCTGCCATATGGTACTGTTGAGAGTAATTATTAACAGTTATGTGAAGAGTTCCTAATCATGCAAAAACAAGCTATATACCTGTCGAATAGCAAGCGTGAACGGCGAAGGATGGTTGGTCAACAGTGATCACGTGAGTACAGTGCATCCTTCTTAGCCAATGGCGTTTACATCGGAAGCGAAAACGTTCAAGACATTTGCGCTAATCGATGTCTTCGTTGTGGGTTCGCCAGGAACGCAAGTCGACGCATCTATAATATTCTTTGTCTTCTGTTTTCTGCTTCCAACGCTGACCAAGTAAGTAATTTCACCAGTGGATCACCAACTCGACGTTAATTGTCCAGCACAACCCAACCTGGTATTTCTTGCC